TCTCGGCCGAACCGACAGACCGAGGCTGGAGGCGGCAGCATCCCTGCCTCAGGGAACGGGAACAGGCCGCGACAGCCCGGGAAGTACAACTGGACCTGGAGCAGCCACCCTAAGGCTACTGGCTCTCAAGGGGAGGGTGCGGGCAGGGGAAGACGCAGCTGTAGCTTCTGTAAGGCTGCAGCTGCAAAGCTGAGTGTAGTATGTTACAGGCCCAACGATGCAGCTGCTCGACCCAAAAAAAAAATTACTTACCTTCCCTGATAACCCAGAAAGCCCAGCTGTGGACTAGATGACCCTTCTGTTCATCACTTAGATAAATAACGAAAACCTGTACAACAAGGACCATGTTCCAGAAGGACCTGCCCTACACGGTACTGACCCTGTAGAGGAAGAGCTCCTCTCTCACTGTGCCATTCCCTTCCCCATTCCTTTGTAAAGGCGCAGCTGTCAGAGGCTGAGGGTACAGCCTGACCCATTTTCTGAACTTCCCCATGTAATCAGGGCAGTTTAATTTTACGTAAGCCACTGGAAGTCAAGCTAAGCCTAGTCTTCTCTCGAAATGCCAACCTCATCCATGCAGATTCCCCCTAGTACAGCAGTATATATCAGCACTACTTTGAAACAGTCCTTTAAGTTTGGTTTCAATTAGAAGTAAAGATTTCTTATTTATATAATCCTTCATATTCACAGGACAATGCATTCCTCACACACAGGTTTTTATTAAGCTTCTCACATGTAATTAAGCATATATACTACATCTGACATGCTAACAAGGGTGTCAGGAGCCAACTTTTTTTTTCCTCCAGATGCCTGTGGCAGTTGAAGTGTCATGGATTTCATACAAATGTTTCAAAACTTGTTTCCAGTTCTAAGCAGGGTGATAAAACACTTGCCAAAAGTTCTAACCATACCAACACCATGTGCCAGAAACATACAAGAGATGTGAAGAGTACATCAGATAAAGCAACACATAGGAGAACAGATCTTGTAAGAGAGCTATGCTGCGGTATGACACTGTGCACCTCGAAACAGTTTTCTGGGGTCTGAAAGAGGAACAGGGGTGCTAGTGGTACAGGCCTTTAACACATCAAAAAGCAAGACTGTGTAGCAGGTGTTTCCGATGGTCAGCCTACAAGGGAAACAACGTTAGCACTGAGAGCAATTCTCTTGACGCCTAAAAAAGAACCACTTTTATGCTCAGGCTTATTCTTACACTCCATGGTCTGTTAGCGCCAATGAGACGCCACCGTGTGTGAGTGAAGATTAATCTATTCGCCACCCATCCAAAGTTCAGAAGAGTGTTATCTTACCACAGTAACGTCGCGTACAAAAAACAAGACGGACAATGTTATGGTAACTGAACCAAACCAGCACTACTAGGCATCCTGCTTCCATCTGCGATGGTCAGAAGGTGGATAATCCACAGACAAATCAGTAAGTTTTAGATGTTACGTATTACCCTATCCGCATCTGTTGTATGAGGAACACGCTCGTAAGACAGTACGTTCCTACCCGCGTGTAATCCTGCTACGAGTAACTTGTTTAAAGCCTGCTGAAGCAGAAGTCCTTTCTTCAGCCAGGAGTGATCCTCCGTGTCCGGTGTCCCATGCAGGCAACACTTAACTGAAATAATCACAAGGGAGTGAAGTAACAAGCTTCAGTTTGGCAGCAGCAGTAGATTCGTAACGATTAAGTTGAGCAGTAGTTACAGATTCAAAGGAAATTATGTATCCACAGTATATATACAGTATAATTAACTTCTCAAAGGAGGATTTTTTTCATTGCTGTATTTTAAAGGTTGCCTTCAAATTACAGATAAGTCCTTTAAATGCTTGAAAGGCATAAAAATTCCCCTTCCCACACAAAACCCCAAACAACGTATTTTAGTTTCAAAAATATTTTGAACCCACAAAGAAGCCTGGTATCAGTTAATCTGGTAAAATAGCTACGTGCTAAATAAAAGCACATCTGGTGGAAAGAGCGCAAAGAACGTTACAAGTGTGCTTAGTTTTTGCTTGCAGCATCTGGCAGTGGGTAGCAGGACAGAGACGGGAATCTCAGTGGGTCTCCTCCTGTGTCTGTTCTGCAATAGTTTCTGTGGCACTGGCATTGGCAGCAGAGTTGAGAACTTCTCCAAAGTCTCCCCCGGCAGGTTTGCTTCCTCCAACTTTAGACTAGAACACAGAGAGAGCCTTGACATAAAATTGCAGTTACTTGGTACACCAAACACACTTGGTGTACATAACCAGTACCTCTGCACGAGTAAGTTTCGTAACTCCTCTCAGGAGAGCAGCTTTTCCAGGACTGAGCTACCTCCAGAATACTATAAAGACAAGTCTTTTAAGTATCATGCAGAAAAGTCACCAGCAGCAGATTAACGTAGCAGTCTCCCTTTGACTTTGGGATACACGAAGCATGAAGCAGCCCCGAACCCAGGGAGTCTGAAGGTCGACACACCCTCAGTTCAAAACGGATACAGGTACGCAGCCTTCTGAGCCATTTAGGCTTTGAAGGCTTCAGAGTTAAAACTTGCTTCTGTATTGCTTAAGAAAGAACCTTGAACAGTTTCCAGTCTCAACAGCAATTCCCAAGATCTTTAGTGGAGCATAGCAAATATTTTACTTTCTCCAGGTAACGCGTCTGCCTTTTCACTTCCCTCTACAGTACCTACCCCTGTGGGATGGCAGGAGCGTTAGTGCCAATTCCTTTGCAAGGGAATGCCTGGTTCCCCATGCTAGCGCTTGCACGCTTCTCATCCAACCCAGTGTGTCCACGAGAACACTCAAATCTGGTTCCGGTCACATTGATTAGTTATTTTTAAAGTGATTTTTTACCCAGAGAAGCTATTAAGGGTTGTTTCTGGCACCTGAGGCTTTTATGAGTAAATATTAAATTAAGGTACAAAGGTCTTGCATATTTTATGCCAGAAATAAGAAAAATATCCCAAGTTATTCTCATGTGTAGGATACTAGTCCTTAGGAAGGCGTGGAAATAAAAGCCCAGACCATTTGGGATACATAATACTAGGTATGTTGTGCTAGCTGTTTGTGCAGGTTAGCTAGCTGTTGGTCCTTCCAGTTAAAAGCATCCTGCTGTAAGAGCTGCAGAATTTTTTATTCTCAGATCATTAGGCAGAGAAAACATTTCCACAGCATTTAAAAAGATGTCATCTAAGCACCTTCAACAGTTTACCAATAACTAAAAAACAGGCTGCCCAGAGTCCCCATCAGTCTTTTCTCCACATCCACAGCTCCATGATCACCAAGGTGTTTTAGTAATGCTTACCTTTAAGTTTTCAACTTTTTCCTCAAAGGATTTGAAAGTAGGAGAATTTCTAGGAAAATAAAAGAAGGAATCACAGAATTAAAAACATATCTGGTTAGTCTATAAATATGAGAAAACAAGCAGACAGTTGCTTTTTCCAATGTCAATGTGAGTCTGTTTGGGGTTCTTTCCTTGATCTAAGGGTAGCCTAAAAATAGTTTAGATCTGGATCTCTCCAAGTACTATAAAACTAAAAAAATTCAAACACACTCAAGTTGCAGCTCATTTGTATCTCTGGCAACTAAGCATTGCCAGGCTCAGCAACAGGATCTTTCATTACAACACGGAAGGGAAAACTAGCAAGTATTTTAGGTTTAGCTTATTATTCCCAGTGATTTCAAACAGTTTTCTGGCTTAAAGGATTTGTTCAGAAAAGCTTAGTCATCACTTCTGGTTAGCCTAGTACATTATTGCTGAAGAAAGCTTGTCATCAGAGTTTTTTCACTTGTTACAGGAGAAGTAGTTTAATTTAATAGGCTATACGTTCTGTTAACAAAACACAGTAACATTTTCTGCTAACATGTTAAATTTAAGGGAGACTCCTCCTTGCCTTTTAAGTGCTGCAGACAGCTGTGATTACAAATGGTAAGTTACACACATGAAGAGCAGGACAGCTTGGGATTTTCAATGCTGAGGGCCACAGTGTATTATTTATTAGGGTCAGAAGAGTGGCTTAATGCTCCGACTAGCTGTCACTGCCATTTGCAAATTTGTGCAACAGTTTGTACACCTTTTCTGCCCTTGTGCAGGATGGAAAATGCTTGCCTTTGGTGGACCAGGACTAAGGATTCATAGCAGACTCAAAAAAAAATTATTATATAAAGATGAAAGACAGGAGGGGTTTTTTTAAGAGACAAAAAAAATTATTATATAAAGATGAAAGACGGGAGGGTTTTTTTTAAGAGAGGTCTTAAGCTTCCCTTCCCGCTTTGGTTGGTATTTGTGTAGGTCACCCACACTTAGCAGCACTCTTTCATTTGGAAAAGCACACAGTGACATACATATATATCCTTTTTTTAAATCTCTCTCTCTCAAACCAGACTCTCTCAGGAGATGGAGGGACACAGTGCCAAGCAAGGGGAGGGAGAAGGCAAGCACTCCAAGTCAGACTTTTTGTGAAGCCACAGGTTTTTTTACTCATTTTCAGTATTCTAAATCAGATGCCAAGCTATTGCCTTTTAAACTTGGAATCATTTGGTAGCACTGCATTTCTAATGGGGAGGGAAAAGTTGTGATAGTTCTCCAAAGAGCACTTGGTCACATTCCAGACGTGCGATAACCACCACCATTAAGTAGAAATAAACCAAAATTTTATCCTATATGTTAGTACAGGAAATCTGTTACAAATTTGGGTGGGTTTTTTGGTTCTGTTTTAAATCTATGTTAGTTGACTTAAGTTCAATTTGACTTGATTCCACATATGAAAAATAGATAAACCCAACAGCTGGATTATGCATACATTACCTCATGATAGGCATACTAATTGAATGTTGTATGGAGCGTATACTAAATGCCAGCATTAAGAAAAAAGAAAGCGAGAAGTTAGTTAAAGTGATAAGACTGAGCAGAAATTGGCTTAGAAAGCTGACTTCTGGATACTATTTTTGGTAAACAGCCAAACAGTCTCATACAGTAACTGCTTGGGTTTGCTTTTTTAAATTGCTTAGCCATGCACACACACAAGTACATCACAGCAAAAGCTGCAACCACTTTTTCCTTTTCAGAAAGACTCAAGTGCCATGCTTGTTAGTACATATTCTGCTCAGCTGCAACAGTCTGTCTACTCATTAAGTTCCTCAAGCAATGACAGTCATGCCGCATTTACAGTTTTGACGATATCAAGCAGAAAGTGAACGCTCAAGAGTCTTATCAATCATTTCCTACTGAAAGAATTATTCCTACATTCAGAAGGCTGCCATTTCAATTCAGCGTTAAGATTTCCATACTCATCAATACAAATTATCTAATGGTTAACATAAATTATCTAGCAAGAGCAGGCACATCAATCCCTATTAAAGGTCAGGTTTATGCTGAGGGCAGGGAGAAAGTCCTAGTCTCAACCCTGTTCTGAAATTCATGGGGGATTTCTGTAACCTGCCAGTGCTGCTGTACAGTTACTGTTTGTTTAGTGACAACACACACCTACTCCTAGAAGGTGACTGGATATAGATTAAGGAGCTCCCAAATAACTTCAAGACCATCTGGTATCTAATTTAGTTCCATATTCTAGAAAATCCCAGTTTACTCTTGATACAAATCAGTCTTACATGTTAAATGTTTCTTGTCAAATACCACAATAGTAAGTTAGAAAAACTGATGATTGCAGTTTTTCATAACTATATTTGGAATGTCAAGTTTTGACTGGGCTTTATAATGTCTTTCAAGACAAAACTTTCCAGGCAATTGCTAGGGGGAGGAAGAAAAAGAAGGAAAAAAAAAAAAAAAAAAAGATCTCTCACGTTTGAGGCACCTCCAAAACTCCAATTAGTATTTCAGTACAATAGAAGACACTTTCACAGAAGCAAAAAGGTTCTGTGTTTATTGTAGAATGAGTTCTAAGAGCTTCTTTCAGGAGACTCAGCAGGAGAATTCAGTGATAGAAAAAAAACTACGCACGTAAAAAGTTCCCTTAAAGTTGGGATCCCTTAAGGCAGATGCACAACGCAAGGTTGGTTTGTAGATACGGTGTACTGGGAATTGGATCCACAAAGGCCAGCTGCTGTCCTGATGTGCGTCAGCAATGCGTGGCCATGTTTCATCCCTTTCCCCAACCCCAGTTCTGCTGTGTTTCATCTTCATGGATGGTTTGGCTTTCACAAGCTTTTCCAGAGCACATAGAAGCTGATTGTCTTCTGGAGTGTAATTTATATTCCTCACTGTAATGTGGCTTACTATAAGTTCTGGTCTTGCTATGTGCCAAGTTTTAGTACAGAACTAGGCTGATCCTAACTAGTTCTCTTCGTCCAGTCATACTCAGCCACTCCCCTTCACCCTGCAAGAAGTGCCTCCCTGCAAGAAGTTTAACGCTAAAGAGGGTGAAAGTTACCTTCTCTTCCCCATATATGTATTTTTACAACCTGTAGACCTGCTCACACTGAAAAGCAACAACCTATGGTGTATTGCAGGTCTTTTAACAGGTGTCTAGGGAAGTTTAGTTTAATCTCATAGAGATCACTTAATGAAAGAACTATTCATACATTCGTGAAGGATTTACTTGCTGTTGTCCAATACACTTATGTATATTCAGTATCCATTTTGTAAAATGTCACCATAAGATAGTATATAGTTTTATCACAAGAGAACTGCATTTATCTAAATGCAATTGAACTTTTTTTAACATCAAATCACCTGTTCTTCAAGTAGTGCAAATAAGCACGGTTAAGCCTTGAAAAGCTTCATGAAGAGGAGATCTTGTATTTCTTTTCACAAATGACAGAATGCCACATGAAAGCACTCACTCAACTAGGCCATCCAGTTGGGCAGTTTGAAAAAGAGAAGCACTTTTTACAATGCTCACAAGCAAACCTCCAGCTTTAAATAAAAAATAAAACCAAAAAAGGCACAATAAGTTGCTCTGCAGCCTTCTATGTGTTTTGTACTGCATTAAAAGCTTTCTTATCCTTTACATGATTATTTTTTATAGCTACTGCATTGCCTCACACTTTGAAAATGCACAAGGAGGTATGCCAGAGTCCCTGCCTGGAAAACATGGGCTTAAGCTTTTGTTAAGTTAGGTTTCCAGCTGATAAGCTGACAAATGACGATATTTAGGAGTTCGTGATCATATCAGATTTTCAAAGTGAGCAAAGAAAGTCATTCTGCAATCTCAGAACAGGACAAAGATGAAGACTGCTGCTCCATCATATGGATGCAGTGCAAGAGGAGCTAAGCGCAAAGTCATGTCTGCTCAGGAAGTTTGCAGAGCGCCACACCTGTTTTGCACGTAATACTGATGTTGCCTACACAAGGATGACTAGCTCATCAAAAGTTGAAAGCATTCTTATAAAGGAGAATAAAAGTATTAAGAGAAACCTAAGAAGGAACAGAGTTCATTTTCAGCACAACAAAAAGCAGAGGAAACAAACACAAAAAGGAAGCAATAACGCACTGGCTTTGCACTACCAGTCCTCTCTCTTCCTCTCTATTTCAGTACTTTCCAAGTTCACAGCTCCACCAGCTGCCGTACTCCTTTCGCAACTCCCTCCAAAAATCACTTTGCAGTGCAAGACTTGAAGACCTCCATGCGACGTTTGCCGCATGGAACATGTGGAAGTAGCCCAACACAGAAGAAATCATGCCATTACAGCTGAGAAGTCCCTAAACTAAGACAGTACAAGAAAAGCAAAGCCATGATGAAGAAGCCACATGAGAGTTTAAGAATAAAAATGCACCTGCATATTCAGTATTTGTCCAAGTAAGTATGAGGCCCATCAATTCTCATTTCCAGGAAGGAACTTGGGCATCTAAAACTTTCTGAAGTTGAGACTTGTGCAGTCTTAAAAGTAGGCACCACTTGAGTAGTCGCATAACCCTGGGACCTGAATTCCCTGGCTGAATCCCAGATGAGCTTGGTCCTCGTGAAAGTGAAAAACTCAAAGGTTTTTTAGTTGCACTTGAACAGCAGATTAAGATCTTGAACAGCACTAATTCTTCTCACTTTTTGTTTTGTTTTTAAACCCAGCTGCTCCTGAATTTATAACAATTTCCATTGCCCTGATTCTCCCCAAGAAGCACATCAACAGTGTGTGCTCTCCTCTGGCCCTGTTACACTCCCTCCCAGCAGCCCAGTTTCTGAGAGTACTCAACACCCACCTAGCCACTCGAGTAATTAGGACACTCTTCTTTTGAGGTATTAAATTCCTGAAGCCAGAAGCGAGCTATGAGTCTGTGCTTGTCCTTGTCAAGTGCAATAGTCTAATCTAGTGGAACACCATAGCCGTAAGGAAGAAAGGTGAATACTGTTAAGTGAGCAGCCAAGCTCTGCACCCAAGAGGTATGGAGACATCCTTCAGGCTCCCTTTGTCTCATTGACGCTAAAGGGGAGCTATTTCAGCCAGGCTGCTGTTCTTGTACTTGAGCAAACAGAGCTCATATCGGAGTCTGAGGTCTGATAGCATCCTGTGTGGCTGCCTGTCTCCCCACGCACTGCCCTGGGGCTACAGCTCCTACTTAATGTTCTAGGAGCCAGACCCCTACGCCTTTACAGAGATCCTGCTGCTGTCTTCAGCTACTTAGTGGGAGAGCAAAGAAAAAATGAGGCCAGACTCAGAAGTGTGCATAGACGGGATGAGAGGCAATGGACAGAAGTTGCTACACAGGAATTTTAACTACTGAAAACTGAACGTTGAATATTTGCTTAGACTAGGCAGATAAAAGGCAGTGCAGACAAGGTAACTAAAATACTCAGCACCTGGAGCTGCTAAAGTAACCAACTCAAAGATAAGGACAAACTATGAACAGAGAATGCGTAAACTTTTACATTAACACTCTAGTGATATGATTAGTGTCACAATGCTAAACAGCCATTCTAATAGACACAAAAAAGGGAAAATTTCTACTCTGTCAAGGCACAAACACTGTAAAGACAAAGAGAAGGCGGAATTCTGCATGCCATTGACCTCAAAACCATATTCTGTCTCTTTACAAAAACACTTGCAGAATCATTTTAACAGATTCCTTTCTTACAAGGAAGAGAAACTGATTATTATGTAGTCTCAAGATTTCATGTTCTGGGATAGTTACCAGGTGAACATGAAGAAACATCTCTGACATTAAGAGAGCTTCAGTTTTACATTAACTAGCACTGGACAAAAAAATAAATTACCTTTTACAGACAAAACTTATTTAAAGATTTTAATGGAGACAGTCTGACTACATGCGTAGTTTCAGAAAGAACTCTTGTGCCCACCTTACCTAAAGGAATGTGAAAATGCCTGTAGTCTGCACAATGCCAGAGTAAGCATTAAAGAGAGAAAGGAAGTTCTGATAAATCTGAAGAAAAATAGGTAACTGTGTAGCTGAATCTCAAAGTGTTTTCTCACTAGACTTCAAAAAAGCAAGGAAGAGGTTAATGGCAGCACTTTAAAACAGAGGGCTGATTTTATTACACTGCTTTCCAAGGCAGCAATAGTCTGTTAGAACGTATGAATTTTTATTTGTCCAATAATTGAAAATAAGTTTGATCCACTATTCACAACAAATTACAGGCAGAGATGAATAGTTGTGTATGTTCCAGTAGTAAAAATTATACAATCAAACAAAGAATTGTAGGCTAAGCATATGATCGGATTGCATCCAGGAAGAGCTTTGCATGCAGCTCACAACAGTGCTTAAAAGGACCACCAAACTTACCTAATTTGCATGAAGGGCTGTGTCATTTGACACAAAGTCAAAATATGTTGTATGCCAATATTTAAGAATTAAAAAGTGCCAACAGTCTATTAAAAAGGTAATAAAATCAAGCCACCGCTATGAGGTAGAACAACTTACAAAGAAATAAAACACATCTGAAAGGAATCCACACACAAGACAAAAAAAAAAAAAAAAACAAACCCAAAAACCAAAACAACCCCAAAAAAACAACTACCAAACCACAAACAGTTAAAGACATTAGTTGTTTAAGTGTAGTATTCCACAAGCTGAGAAAGTCAGAGAACAGAAAGGACAATGCTACGTGCATCACACAGAGGCAGGCAGAGACGTCGCCACCTGCAATCCTACCAGAAAAATAAGAGTAGCAGTGGAGGTAATAGCATACGATGCTTCTCTTGCACGTATATAATACACACCACAGAACTCTTCTGCGTGAGTGAGGACATACAAGCAGATTTTGCAACAAGCCGCTCAGCTCTCCTAAAACAGATGCTGAAGGCTCTTGATAGATTAACTTTTAGAAGTCCTAGGTACGTTAACAGCATAAATTTATTTCAGTGATCACCTACTTAAATCAAAAATGCAACTATTTGGGAAAAGCTAAAGAAACCTACCTGACATCTTCAAACTTCTTGGTTATGACTGAACCAACTGATGAAAAAGCAGCAGAAGCCTTCTGACCAGCCTGAGACAGGGTTTCTGATGTTTTCTTGTATCTGTGTTCAAACGAAATTAAATCTGTAGTTATTTTAATAGAACACATAAGGAACCTTTTAGCATATGAAGATTCATATCAAACCCAGAGGTATACTTCAACTTTGGGGTCAAATGGACGAGCTACTTAAGAGATGATTTTGAGCCATTGCAGTCCCTTCTGGCTACAGCATCTCTGCCACCTCAGACTTCAGATTAGGTTCACCAACATGCACCGACTTCCCCACCCCCAGAACAGATGCTATCTGCTACTGTAGGACTTTACAAACAAACAAAAAAACCCCTTGTACCAAATGGTTTTGTCAATAAACTTCACCATAAAGAGTTTGAGGCACATCCTTTTATATTCTGCGTAGTCATTAATTGCAGAAGGCAGTTCGCTCTAGACCTTAAGCTAACAGTTGTGTTTGGCAAGAACATTAACTGTGACTTTGCACTCTTCCTGCACGAGCTCCGTTTACAACAATTTTTCAGGCTGGAAAAGAAGGGTATGCTGTTGGACTTAGGACACCTTGGTATCTCAGTAATGGTACCTCGGATCTGTCAGACAAAAAGTGGATTAGAATTGCCATATTATGGTCAATCACTCTTATTTTGCATGAGACAATATAGCTAATAGTAGCCTTCTTTAAAGAAATCTATGATAGTTTATCCAGGTAAGTTTTAGTGCAACTTAACTTTGTGTTATCTACACTCATCTCGTTTCACAAGAACAGAGGGTTTCGACATGACACAAGAGCTACACAGTTTTCACCTCAACAGCTGATACAATCATTGTGAAGTGGTACGTACGCTGTGGTTGACGTAACATCTTGCCAGCTTTTGGTAATGTTCTGCCTTAGTTCCTGTAATGAGTTAATTCCCAGCTTTCTCTTGATTTCTGCTAGATGCTTCTCTTTGGCAGCTAGCACTTGTGAGAGCGTCTGGATTTCCTCTTCCACCTGTGGCAGCAGAGGTGATGAGAGGTAAGTTAAATGGCTGAGTATTTTGCTTGTTAACTATGCATTTATTAAAACACCTACTAGGCATCAGTAATGGAAGGGATAACACGTTTTGAAACATTGCCTCACAGTTGTTTCTAAATACTAAAAGGGAAATCCAAATTAGGCTACAACAAGAGCTACTGAGAAAGTAACCTACCTGCAGCTAGCACCGTTACTAGAATACGCGCAAGGAAGTTGGTACCTAAAAGACTGCATAGTTAGAAATCATGACCATTAGACAACATGAGCCTGTGTGAAGCTTGAAGTTTAGTCAAACCTGGGACAATCGCTAAGCCTGTACTCTCCTTCCATGTCAGAAGAGATACCAATGTATGACCGGTATCAGGAAGCTCAGAGCACATCTGATCCATACACAAGTTTTGTCTCCTTGCTTGAACAGAAAGGTTCTTTTGTGGCTTAAGCCAGCAACTGCAGGCTGGATCCAGCCACAGGAATGCTTCCCAGAGTCAGGGTGGAAATGGTGGCAGTCGGAGCAGTTAAAACAAAACAAACAAACAAACCCCCACACACAAACAAACAAAAACAACACCAAAAAACCACAACAACAAAACCACAGCAGCTGTTCAGCAACTAGAAAACTGTGCCGTTTGTGTGCTTCCTTCTTCACGCAGATGGTCACCTAAGGCTCTCACAGAAGCACGACCAGATCATGATCAGAGATGTCAAAACAGTTTTATGCTGCCATTCTGTGGGCTATATAGGCAGGACAGAGGCTCTAAGGCCATATGTACAAAGGCGAAGGCGTACATCCAGCTCTACTTCCCCATCCAGACTGGACCATCCTACTTCAGAGTATCAGTGTGCCCACTCATTTAAGCTCCTTTGAGGAAATACCAACATCTTCCATGCACCTTTGTTTTGGGTACCTGTCCGAAGTCCTGCCTGACATACCCTAGCAGGACCAGATCTCCCTCACCATCTCCAGATGATTGTTTGGCACGAAATAACAGGCAGGACTACCAAAATCAAGACTGCATTAAATGTGCTTATTTCACAGCTAACCTTCATTTGCCAACCTTAGGCTTAAATTAGTGACTTTTATGAGGGTCCTACGGTCACATAGAGCTACAAAAGAAAAAAGACTGGCAACACAACCAAGCTTGACTTTGACAACTTTTGAAATGCATGTATCAGGCTTGAATATTTGACTGTCCTTTGAAGAGCGCTACTTTAACTCGCTCTTAAAAAAATTTCTGCTCTATGAACTATGGACAAGAATAGTTACATGGTTAGACATTAGCAAAACAGTGTCTACACGGATATTACTACAAAGCATCCTTCATGAAAACAACAGCTTCAGTTACTCCACACCAGTTGAGGCAATACTTTGTTCTGGCTTCTCTTTGACATGTTATCTACCCCCTTCCCACTTGAGGAAAAAAAAAGGGTTAGGCATTTATGCATCTTGGTTTAAGATCTGTACACTCAGCACTTCTAGCTTAACTCCCCATAGCTAGAACTGGCTGTTCTTTTCTGCCTGGCACCTTGTTTCCCTCCTCGCAACACACAGGCATGCGGTACCCAGCTTTAGACACGCACAGAATAAACATGCAAAGCATTAACTGTATGTTCAAAGACAGCATTATCCCAGATTTTCATTCTCAAAACCAGAGGTTTACCTTAGCAAGCTCTTTTCTTAGCTCATCCTGTTCTTCTTCTGAGAGTGTTTCTGCCATACCGACTGTAGCAGCAGCATCCTCTCCAACCTCAGGTATAGAGTCACTTCTCAGCAGCCCTTGAGGTGAATAAACCATTGCAAGTCAGGTCATCACATGTCTGCCAGACAGCAGCTAACATTAATATACAGCCCTTTTGTGCCAGCGCACAAAGAAAACTGAAGTCACGCTCCCCGAGGACTACGGCGTACAGGAAACCAGAGGCACTTTACTGGCTGTCTCATCCTATCAAGTTGTATTAAAGCTCAATATAATTGCAGCTGCTGCTATAACAGGAGACTGGAAACCTGTTGAGAACAATGCATCCCACTACTCTGATGGAAAGCAAGGTGCAGAAGGCTAGGTCCCAGCCGGTGGTTCCTACAGACCCTCTGCCCAGGGGCGCAGGCGCTCTCTGCTCCCCCTCGCTCCTGCAGCACAGAACCTCTGGAAGCGCTGGGGGTGCTCAAGCCCAACGCAGAGCCTCCCTCCCTCCCTGCTCTCTGGATCAGATTAAAAGATACCCATTCCTAGCGCACTGGGAGCAGTCATGCTGACAAGGAAGCTCAGCAACAGCGGAGAAAAGGGTTTCACTGCAAGTACAGACTCTTCCCCCGTACCCTGCTCAACCTCTCTGCCCCCAGTAACTGGGACCACCGTGGCGAGAAAGTCACAGGTACCCTGGAACTAGAAGTAAGCTGCTGGTTTGCACCTGGACATTAAGACAGATGAGAAGCCTGGAGAAGGAGCTTGGGAACAAAAGGCCATCACTTCAGGCAAAGCGGTGGAGCGCTGAGAAGGGACAATGAGGACGTGCATCCACTCACACTGCTGCCCCTTCCCTTTCCAAATCCAGAAACCAAAGCTCTGCCAAACTCCTCTGTACGAACACCAAACATCCCTACGGTCTTCCTCAACTTTCACAGCTTCAGGGGAAGGAAGGAGAACGGTATTATTTCTATGACTAAGAGGTGCTCACTTTAAAGATTCATTTATTCTTATTAAAGATTCATTTATTCTTAGTCCTTAGTGCTTGCAGTGAGATCACTCTAAACACCTTTTAATGCAACAAACAGATTTCCCATTTCTTTGTAGCTGACACTTAAACATACAGTTTGCCAGAATTAAGGAATCCTGTTCGAATTTGCAAAGAGACCAGTTTGCAGAGAGACCGAATGCTGAAATGGTTGTGGATTCCTGGAACTAATTCTCCATTCAAGAGGTAAAATAGCATTATAGATAGTAAAAAAGAAATGAAATAAAAATCTTAAAATAGAAGAGAAAAAAACAAGGAGGATTGTTTGTTTGTAAGGAGAGAGGGTGAGTGTGTATGTGTATATACATATGTATATAAATATATAATTCAGATAAGTTGAGGACATACCAAGTAATGTTCCCTTACTAGTCACGATAGTAATATAGACTCTATATATAGAGAGAGTCTATATATAAAAACTATAGTGTCTATAAAAAACAGATAAAATGCCATCCTCATTTCAGCAGCTTCTGATGGCACTACTGCCATTTGGTCTGGGAATCCAAAAGCTCATTACTGTGCAATGAGACCACCACCGATTTCATTGTGAGGCTTGATATCAAATAGCTACATCACAATCAACTGAAAAGTCAGGGGAAAAAAAGATTCTGCGAGTTTGTAATTAGTTGTAGGTATTCTTATGAAACATGCTCCTAGCAGCTGTCCAGCCTAAGAAAAGAAGATGCCTTGCTCTTGATCAAGTTACTGAACTCAGGTAAAGCTCAATTCCACAAACTTTTTCCAAACCAGTATGTTTTCTGCCTGGTGGTGTGTCCAGAACGCTTGTCCTCTAGAAGCCCACTGCTACACAGGCAGAACATCTGTAAATGGTTACGTTACCACAGAGTATATCGAGAAGAAAGCATACAGAAAGGCAACCGAAACCCCATTCTGCATTTATTTATGAAATCTATACCATGTTTTCCCAGAGGTCTATGTTTGTGTAGAACACAGACATAATGTAGTTCCTACAGGTTACCCAATACCTTATCTGCTGGCAGAAATCTAGGGCAGCAAAAAAGTTCTGAGTCTAATGTGGAAACCAAAGCACAGCACTACAGCACCAGAAAAAAAAAAAATAAAAGGATTATGGCTCGTTTCTTGCCATCAGGTAATTTTTGTTCCATACATCAACATATTTCCTTTTCCGAACATCAAACTGTTAAGAATGCCATATCTTTCTGTCAAATCGTTATTTATCTTATTAAGTACATATGCTTGTACAGAAGGAAAACTAACAATTTAAACTGCACTCTCCGACCGGCGGTACGTTAGCCTCCGACTCCTGGCCTTGTTCTCCATCTGCAGGCCCTTCAGGGACTACCGAGCTTGCCATTGCAAAAGCCATTTCAGAAAGCTGGCAAGTACCAAAGACCACGCTGACTCCGAGAGCATTAGCACATCCAGCTGAAAGTCTGTTCAATCTGGTTATGAAGAGTCATCATCTGGATTATCTCACCAAAAATAGCTCAAGTGAACCCAGCAGCAGGAAAACGCTGGATTGTCTCCCGCAGCAATAGCTTCTGTTTTGAGAATATACCTTCGCTTTGGAAAACTAGTGTTTTACAGGAGTTTGTGCTGCTTGTGGCCCACACTGAACTTAAGACACAATGCTAAGCAGCAAGGGAATGATCTCTCCTTCCCTTTCTCATTTCTAGATCTTTTAGGACAACAAGAAATCACTGCTACTGAGACTCCTCCATGCCTCAACCCCGTACATCTAACCATGCCTTCCTCTCCTCTCCTCGCCTTCTGCCCCCCTCCCAGTTACTACTTTTTCTTTAGCTCCATCTGAAGTATGCAAACGCCTTCCCATCAGTCTTTATTCTCGCACCTCCCCTCTGATTCCCTGTTACTGTTCACCTCTCGGCTCGCTTTGCCCCCGTTCCTCGGTTCACTTCAGTACTTGCAGGACACAGGGTTCGTCTGTGCTATGGGAAGGCCGTGCTCGGCAGCCTGACCAAGAAGCAGATACACAGATAACAACCCACAGACCTCCACAACGCCGTGGCTACAACCCAAATATACCGCCTAAACTGGGGCTGCCAGGCAGTAAGATCCTGGCTTTGAGCAAGCTTCGTAAGGAAAGGTCACAGCCCACCTTATTTTTGCAGGGTGCACTCAAGAAACCAGGGCAATAGCAGTCAGCCAACAGATGGAAATCCTTCAGCTCAATCTGTTCTTAAGAGAGCATTTCTCATTTGTGGTCTTCTCTGTTCACCGGCAGAACTGTTATTATTGGCTTCTGAATTGCTATAATCAAGTTCAGCTGAGTATTTTACATCTCTTAAGTTCTTAAAGACAGTAAAAATTCTGTTGGGGGAAAAAAAAATTGGGAAGACTTACCTAGTATTGGGAAAACTTACTTAGTTTTAAGGTCAGTTTTTAGGTGTCTGTATTTCTAAGATTAACGTATTATCCCAGCAGTTTATTAGATCTACTTAAATGAACCAAATAAAGCCAGGAAGAAGTTAGTTGATTAGGACTCCACAGATTACATTCAGGGAAATGGCACTTAAGTCTCTATTATTCTTTCGGAGCAGGCAAAGCATCAGAGTCATTCAATCTACACTCAGGTTTTCTGGTTTGGGGTTTGCTTTGGTTGGTTTCAACCCAAGTTCACGCTCTATTTTGACCAGAAGTTCCTACCTCCTCCTGGCCTGAGTTCAGAGATTAGCAGTAAGGGTCAGCAGTGCAGGGAAGCACTGGCCATTGCAGCCGAGCAGCCTTCGGGGTGAGGAAGGTTAGCCTTCACAAAGCTTTATCTTTAGACAGACAGATTCTGTGTCAGACACTCAGAATCAGCATTTTGGCTATCACTATACAGTTGGCAAAGCTAAAGAAAAAAGGCACTTGTTAGAGTTCAGGCGAGCAAGCTGTTACAAGATTATAAGATCACTCCAACATTTGTGTAATGTACAGTGCTACAGAGGATATTTATTTTGCAATACGTAAGACAGATCAAATTTAAGTGCTTCCCATTTATGTCAGTGAAAAAGCCAAATTGAGATGTATTTCTTCAACTCAGGGGGAGAAAATTCCTGGGCTTCTCCCAAACACTCATCATATCTTCGTTCAAAGTGAATTAAAAAGACAAAAAACCCCGGCAAAGGTTGGTGCTTATGGTGATGCACAAAGGAGTGCTCCCCCCCTTTAGAAGAGGTGGGAGATGCAGTCACTGCAGCAGCGAAAGCTGACCGCTGGTCCCCAGAGTTTAATTCACACAGAGGTCCAGCAAGGGATGCACGATTCTTTAAGATTGTAAAGAACAAGCCCATCAAAAAAAAAAAAGTCAACCCCTTTGTAACTTTGCTTTGTCACACCTGAAGTAGGGCTAAGCTTTCTGTATTTTTAATGACCGTGAAAGATCACGTCCGGCAGCACGGCATGGAAAGGAAAGGTGGTAAAACCAGACTGGGGTGTGTTGGGAGGCACGGCTGTAGATGTTCTGTATGACAGGTTACCAGCTAGAAACTCGCAGGGTTAAGCACTAGACGGATGCTGCTGCAGCACCGCACGCAACAGCCGCTTCCTCAGGAGAGCGCAAGTACAGTACAGTTAGTATCCGCAGGCCTAAGATTTGCAGCATTTTAAGTGCTAGGTGGAACAGAGTAAAGGTTTTAGCGAGCATTTTCGTTAATCGGCGATATTTTCAGTACTAAGGCAAGAGCAGATGTTAAGACTATCCAGAGCTCTGAAGTCATACTAAGTACGCAATTCCCACCTGCCCCCCAAAAAAGCTAATAGTCAAACTAGGCCACTTACTCTGATCTTGTAGAAGTTGTCCTTTTATTCCTAATGTATTTGCTCACTTCGTTTTCTCTCAAACTACCTTTCTACTGAACTAAGAAATAACAAATAAGGTAAAGCTTGTAAATGCATAGCACATGAGATATTACCTACATGACACTCTGAAGCCAATAAACTACCAGAGTTGACAGCAGGTCGGCTTTTACCTTCATTTACACCTGCATTTCAGCCAAATTTAATTGGAGAAGTTCCTTTTTTACAGATATTAATCACTAAGCTTTCCCTGTAGAGGTTTTGAAAAAGAAAGAGAAGGAAGTTACCAGGCTTCGCCAGTGTAGGTGATCCAGGTGGAGAAAGGTTTATGCTAGGCGACAGGTAAAGGTAGTTTCTGTTCACTCCAGCATTGAAATCGAAGGGCGATTTGTAATCCTCATACAGATCCATGCCAGAAAATTCAGAGCGTGCAGCCGTCCCCTCCTTCCACTGAAGCATTCATCTCTGCTTTCTGGGGCGACCCGGACAGCAGGATTCAGAAACCCTCTGTTTCTTCACATGACACGCACTGTACCTCCTCATAAAATTCAGCTCTCTTACGCCTCTGTTAGATTTGATAGAGCCATCTAGCAAGTGATTCCTTAGCCATCTTGGAGCTGCTGCTGTTTACATGGCACAAAGTTAAGTTCCTGTAAATTTATAACCAGGGCTGGACTTAAACAGACCGCTCCTTTAACAAACATTCACAGCACGCTGTTCGTGGCTTCTGGAAGAGCCTTGGTCCTCTGCAGAACTGCATCAAGAATCTTCCATCATTTAAATAAAAAAAGGTCAGCTGACTGCAGCTACACCAGGATATCCTTAATCTTCTAGGACACAAAAGGATTACTAGCCGTAATCTATCCTATATACCATCTGTGTAGGACTTTTTCCTCTGATTAATGGAAAATTCTGCGTGCATAACTATTTCTCCAGCTGCTTCCACCAGCATAATAACCAGTAGCCAGAACCCAGCCTCTGCTGCCCAGGTATCACGCTGTAGAGCGAGCTCAGAACAGGAGAAAGCAGCCCTCATCTCCGATGGCTCTGCTATAAACACCACCTGGGGTTTTTAATGAACCCGTTAACGTGCATTATGAGTTTTGCCCATGAGGCTAAACATATGTGGGTATGAGGGGGTTTGGTTTGGTTGGGTTTTGTTTTTAAAAAAAGATTATTGAAGTGCACTGCCCTATGTCCTTGGTGGTTCAGGCAGCGTCATTAAGAGCAGCCAGTTATGCCAGGAACCAGTAACACTGGAATGCATCGTACTGATTAAATGTATTTACGTTTTGACACATATACTATAAAGAAAGATCAACTTACGCAAGACATCTGACTTCATGCTGGGGGTGTAAGATTTAGCCCTGGGAAGCAGAAGTGCTTCTTACCTAAAAGAGAGACTCAGCACAGTTTTGCAGTGCTTCACTACGTTATTTTTTTTTCTTCCAAGGTCAGCTTCACTGAAAACACAAGCTTACTAGCAGTGCAGATCCCCTTTCCAGCTGAGCAACGATTTCCTCCCAGCCCCACACCTTCACCTGGGCTCTCCACCGCAGCCTGCACACAGAGGAGCATAATCCAATGGAAGTTAATCTCTTCCTCCACCCTAAGAGCGATGCTTTAAGACAGAGACAATCAGAGACATTACGCCGCCCGCCGCTCAAAGCCGTAGAAGTGAAGGAGCCTTGCAGCATACCCAAGCCAAGCCTGGGCAATGTGTGCCCTGGGGACACGAGAAGAAAGCGTACCACTTCGGAAGTTTTAACTTCCCATTTCCACGGCGGTCAGCGGGCGCAGGAACAGACCTTCCAGCTAATTACAGAGCAGTTCCTTTAGGCTGCAGACCTACGTTGGCTTCTGGTGCAGACTACCTGCAGGCTCCTAACAATGAGAGTGCCGGAGCCTGAAACACAGGTCTCTGCTATTTTCTGAACCCACTGAAAAGAATAAAATATAATGCCTCTCTGCATTTCTGGCACGTGGCTGTGGCATCTGCCAGCAATACCACAAAGTTCACCTGACAAAGGTCAAAGCTTTGGTCACAGATTCTAGTTAAAGCATCCCGAGGTAGCAGAGAACCATAACACAGCTACAGTAACTATATAGGCTCATTACCAAGCATGCTAATATGAATAGCTACCGATTCTGCTTGGCGGCCTTCCCTCGTGTAACTGGGCAGACGGGGACGGCCTTCCGTACACCGGCTCAGCAGCAGTTGTACTAACTGGATGAGGCAACCTGACGAGTTACCAGGTGAGGCACACCGGACGAGCTGGGTGTTTCCTGCCATCGCCCTCCCAACGCAGAAGAGTGAAGGCAAGGCTCCCCCCTAGGACTTTTTCCCCAACCCCAGAGAATCATTCAGTCTAACACCAGTCAATGCTAGCAGGCTACGACAACTGAAAGTAGCTATTATAGGAAAAAGAACTCTTACGAAGATCTGTTCTGAATGCCATTTCCTGGCCAAGGGCATTTACTGGAGTCAACACTTAGGTTCTTGTCCATCACAGGAAACTCCCTGCATTCCGTTTTACCCCATACCATGCATGCAAAAAAAAGCTGGTACTCTTTCTGCATCTTTATTGTGCAACAGTTGTTTTCATGTCCCTAGAGATATCTGGATTGCCAGTCTAAGTCCACTGACCTGGCCTGTCACCACTACAGGCAGAAGCGTGTATGGCCCAAACCCTCCAACGCATCTTCAGCATAGTTGGAGAGACAAGCAGAGGGCATTGTCCACCACAGAACATACCTTTGGCTTACAGCGAAGGTTTGCAGAGTCACAAATCTGAGCCTCCACGTGACAGGCTGAATTCTCCTTTTCCCCTGGCTTACACATAGCCTGAGCACAGGCCCAGAAGCCACCTGAGACAATTCTCTGTTTTTTAGAAATATTACTATCCTAAGATCATTATCAAGGATCACAGAATCGATTTAGTTGGAAGAGACCTCTGGGATCATCAAGTCCAACCTTGGCCCCAACACCCCCATGTCACCTAGACCATGGCACTAAGTGCCACTTCCAGTCTTTTCTTAAACACCTCCAGGGACGGTGACTCCACCACCTCCCTGGGCCGCCCACTCCAATGCCTAACGACCCTTTCTGTGAAGAAAGGCCTCCTCATTTCTAACCTGAACCTCCCCTGGCACAGCTTGAGATTACGTCCTCTTGTCCTGGTGCACGAGCCCGCCCCCCACCTGGCTACCCTCTCCTCTCAGCCTTCTCTTCTCCAGACCAAACCCCCCCAGCTCCCTCAGCCGCTCCCCATCAGACTTGTGCTCCAGGCCCTTCACCACCTTCGTTGCCCTTCTCTGGACTCGCTCCAGCACCTCAAGGGCTTTCTTGTGGTGAGGGGCCCAGAACTGAACACAGCACTCGAGGTGCGGCCTCACCAGTGCCGAGTACAGGGGGACGATCACTGCCCTGGTCCTGCTGGCCACACCGTTTCTGATACAGGCCAGGATGCCGTTGGCCTTCTTGGCTACCTAGGCAAAGAGAGGGACCGTGCAAGCATTCTTTACTTCAAACTGCTGTCTTTGCTCTGATTAATCTAGCTTTTAGTGGCCATACAGCTGGGTTGCTATAGCACCTCCCAAACAAGCCGTCTCAGCCTCCTGCTCTCACACCTGCAGGCATTTACAGAAGCATTGCTCCTCACTCATTCTCAGCTACAAATCCTACCTGGTGATGAAGGAAGCTGTCCCACTGAACAAGCTTCTTCCTCATCTCCTTGGGAAGTTTGATGGTCTTCACCCTGAAGTACAAGCCAATCTAGCTGTAAGGAGAAAGGACTGCAGTCTACCCTTCCAAACCTGCAGTAGGACAACTTCCCGGCTCCCGGACATCCCCACCTCACCCACTTCAGGGCAGACAAGTACTCCCCTGCCAGCCATAGCAGTCAGTTTATCCACTCCTTCCCCAGCAGCTCCTCCGCACACCCAGGGATCCAGGGCAGCGCAAGGCAGCACTCCCCCCATACAGCCTAAAGGCAGTCTGAAGAAGAGGGGCCCTGCTAGCTGTCAGCGTGGTGCATTTGAAGGAGGGATGAATTTCTCTCCAAGGGACTTCCCAAATTAAAGTGATTGCCTCAAGGAAACAAAGCGGGATGGGGATGACAGCAGACACACGGAACAGAAAAGAAAGGTTTTGTTCTGCGGTGTGAAGCTTTTTGAGGAGTTTAGCAGCTCTCGACAGTCTGAACATAGCTAGGCAATGGCAGGAATCAAGGTTTCTCTACACTATGACAACAGGCTCATATTGAGGCCTTCCGAAAGGGCCCTCCCACGACCAAAATACCCTGCTCCATGGCCTTCCTCCTCCTCATTCTTCATGGACATTCAGAGCACATGCAGCTGGCTCGAGGCGGAACTGAGGCTGTAGATGTACCCTGCCGTCCCAGTGCAAGACATACGTTTTAGAGCTGAAGCCTAAGTTTAGACTTCTGTTGTGTGGCTTAGAGTAGTTATTGTGCATGCTCAAGTATCTTTGTTCTTTAGCCTGCACAGCAGATTCAGCTGTTAGAGGTGTACCTTGGCTGTTACTGCAGGTATCAGCTGCAAGCCAGTACCTGAAGAGATCCTGAAGCCGAAGGACGCACCTGCTCCGGAGACAAGTAGCAGTGGGGTTTTGCTCGCTATGCAAGAGATGAAAACTGAGCATTTTGCTGTTCCAGAACAAGTACTCATTTGCTCTTAACAACTCAAGTACCAACCTCTTAGTTATCCTAAGTCATCTATGCCGTTTTAGAAGGTGGTGTTTGAGAGACAGGCATGATAGTACCTAACTTCTGTCAAGGATGCTTGAACCAGTTACTGACAAGTTCAACTGAATGTCACAGAGTGGCTCAGGAAGGCTCGGCAAGCCTCAGCAAAGCCTTACCATCACAACTCCTACCATTAATCATGTTGTAATCTCCTCTGTTAAGGTTAGAGAGCGTGCTTAAAGCTTTCCCAGGTAACTATTTAGCATCAACAGTCAGCACAGATTGCGCACGTCGTGAATCATAAGGGAGGGAACTTCCTGCACAGCTAGCAAAGCTGTTAAATTTGAGCAAACACTGTAACCAGGTATGTGCCTGCCTAGTCTCAGACATCGTTCTTTTTTCAGATACCACTTTCTACCCAGGTCTGCAGCTTCCACCTTAGCCCAAGGCTCTAGCAACAATTAAGTAAGGCAATATAGCATTAAAGCACTTCTACCTTGTTGGTAGCTAAGCCAGGATAAGACGTGATGGTAGCCTTGCAGAGAAGCTGCTTTTCCCACATTCAGGTCTAGCAGAACAATAGTTTGTTTATATGTGTTTTCCCTAAAGAAACCAAACCCAGCTCAAGTACGACTGAATACCATCTCTGGGCTTTGAAGAAACCAAGCTATGTATTCAGTAGTGCTTCATACAAAGAGTTAAATTCAAAATGGAAAAGCTACCACTAATGCCTCGGGACTGGAGGAATGCAGAGGCTACCCTAGGACAAGATCCAAACAATACTTTGGATAAAGCTACCTAAATAACGAATCCACAAGATCTGTACCTAACCAAACCGGGGTTCTGCTGCTACGTAGGCACCTTCACCATCCTGGACATCCTGCGGTTGTGTCCTGTTTAAGATGCCAAACTTGCACACCCCAGCCCATGCTTTTGGCAAGCCTACCATGACGCCAGCACTTAATTCAGCAAGCAAAAGAGGATGGGGAAAGATGAGGGGAAGAGTTTGCTGCCAAAGAGGGGGAAGAGGCACTTGCTGGTTTGGAGGCA